AATGTTATGAGAAAATGATGAAAGCTGAAGGATTTAAATGACATTGATAAAATCTTGTGTTAAAATTGATTAAATTATGAAGAATGCCACTCAAACCAGCCCTGTGACGTATAATTGGCATCCTGACAATATTGGCACAATGAACTCCCAAGTCACTTAACTGCTGAAAGAAAAATGTGTTGCTTATTTTTATAAAATGGCATAAAAGTAGGTCATTAGTCACCAAACTTGATAAACTTATCTTTTGCATTTGTTGGCAACTCGCATTGTAGGTGGCAATTAACGTCGAACCAGGAAAAGAGGGGGTGGACTGTACAGCAATAGGTCCTGAACTGAAGGGCAGGGTTATTCGCAGTTCCCATTACCATGGCCACAGACTCCTCACACGTGTCCAGCTCCCCGGGGGCTGTGTCCCGAGGAGTTGACCCAATAAATGGGCACAGGCTTTCGCAGAAGGGCTCGTTCTAAAGACTTTGGATTTTAATCATTTTAAATTTCTTATCCTGCTTCTGGTCCTTCAACACAAAGTGAATATTGCACCCTTTCATTTCACACACTCCCATTCAGTTGTCATATTTTAACAAGACATTATTTGAAACTTTAATTGGGTTAATGTTTTCTTCATCATTAACAGTAAATCAATCATTAGATGATCTCATGAGTGTCTGATAAATGGCGCTAGATGGAAAGTAACACACCCAAATGATGAGAAGGGACAAGAAAATGATGGGACAGAAAAATATTTTACTTCAGAAGTGAATGAAAACTAGCCCTTTCTACATGCGGTCTTAAATCTCCTTTGTGTACCTAACATAAAGTGAGCTTTACATACCCCTCAACTCAAATGTATCTTCCATTCGCTTGCACAGTAATTAAGTCTTCTACTCAGTAATATAAGAAATGGCAGTGAGCTCTCTGGGCAATGCTGCAGTGTTCCCACATGAACAATCGCTCTTCTCCCAGACGCATCATCTCTCCCTCCGCGTGCCTCTCATGTACTTACTCCAATGATGCCAAGTCCAGCGTGACGCCTGGAAAAGGCGTTTGACGATCACCTGCCTGTCATCCCCACAGCAGATGGAGAGGGCTCCTCGGTCTCCCAGGATGCCCCACTGGAGGTCTCGGGTCTATAAATACATTTGCCTTGATAACAGCTGATCACTCCCATGCCCTAATTTCCTATTTCAGAATTGCAGTGACCTTCTACATGAGGCATGCCACTCAGAACTGTCCCTCCATGGCCACCTCCTTTTCCCTTGGACAATTTATTTTTAGCAGCTTTCAGCAAATCCCACCTGTGTCAGCCAGTCCCTTGCTCTCTGCTAATCTACAGAAGGGAAGGACAAAGCAAGAGGGCCTATGTGACCATGTCAGGAGCCCGACTTCTGCAAAAATGAAGGCAAATGCTTCCACTCCTGTAGGTCACGCCTTTATTCTGCGCCCCATACTCATTGTGTGTCATGTTTTCATGCACTTTTCTGGATGACATGCCTATTTGCTCATTGATAGAAATAGTGGGATCAGAACCAGCTGTGACGTGGGAGATTCCACAAGAATCAGGAGAGAATCAGTTTCTCCCTGACGTGGGGGATTCCACAAGAATCAGGAGAGAATCAGGAAGGGAGTTAAAGTTTTGGCAGTGGTATCTGGGCGCTAGGCTATGAAAGAGGGAAAGAGAAATGCGTTCTGCAGCGAGGGAGTGACAGAGACTTGGGGCCCAAGGAAAGGCCCTCGAGACTCCTTCAAGAAGCTGTTTGAGTTGAGTGCATCTGAGGAAGGACCAACATAGGGAGCCATAACTATTTTCTCAGCGAGGCATTCATTTCATAATCGCTGTCTCAGCTGCAGTTTCTCAGAGACACAGATAAGTGTCAGGTTGTAGCCATGCGTTCGCTGAGACGCAGTGGCTGTCGCCGTCCCCTCCAGTGCCGGTCTCTGCCGTGTGGCAGTGGCCGCACGCAAGCGCACCCTGCACTGCTGCCTCGGTTTCTGTCTCACCCCGTGAGCTGCGCTAATGAAACGCACTCGCACCCAGGCTGGGCCTCTCATTTCGCCCCACTGGGTGCAGAAATGCTAACGCCATGTACCGGGCATTTCAGCTGAGCCAGTGCCACTCCCGGATGCAGCAGGCTAGGCCTCTCTCCACCACTGACAGTGGGGCCCGCGGGCGCTTGCTCCCACAGACCCAGGGTGCCCCACCTCGGCAAGAAGTCGACAAAGGTGTGTGTTGCTATCTTAGCCTTTTAATTCCAAGGGCTTCCTTTCCCAGACCTTTTCCCCTGCTGTCTCCTGATGGTCATCAGCTCTTTTGCAGAAGAAAATTAAGAATGCAAGATCCAAAGTTAACTTGAGCACCTGGAAAATTAACAGTTACACAGTTACCCCTTAATAACTACCCGAGGTAACTCTCTCCGCAGAAAAATGGCCATAAAAAATCCAGGGGGCTCCCATTTATCCAGGTGGGCCCATCTAGCCAGGTGGCTCCTATGTAGCCAGGTAGTTCCCATCTATCCAGGGGGCTCCCATCTAGGTAGCTCCTATCTAGGCCACCAGGCTGGGTGCGCTGAGGAGGAAGAGGGGAGGGCCTGCTAGTACCCTATCCAGAGAAGAACCACCCAGAAGCCCTGTCCACAGAGAGGGCTTGAAGTTACATCTTGTTGGGCTTTATTTTTGTCTATTTGGTTTTCTTTCCTGGCGCTGCCTCGGGGTTTCCTGTCCATTACAAGAGAAACCTCGATTCCAATCTTACCTCTAGTTCTCAGACACGTGGCACCCTCATTTGTGATAACCCAGACTTCTCTCCCTCTGGAAGTGCTCCGGTCTGGGGGTTACAGATTGACTGCGTGTCTGAGATGAAGGATCAGTGGTTTCCTCCTGTTTCTTTGAGGTCCTCACTGACTGTGACATTTTCTATCGCTGCCGCCCATTCAGTGGATGAGGGTGGTGCAGAGGAGGGAGGTAGGAAAGGGTTGTATCATCACCATGAGGACCCTGAACCCACTGATGTCAATAACTCAAGATGTTTGCACACAAATATCCTGCACACAGGAGGCAGCCAGAATTTTACACCTGAGTTTAGCTGTACCAGTAACAATAATAATGGCTTCCATTTGCCCAGTACTAGCTTACTCTGTACTGGACACTAGCTGAGTGCCTTGCAAACATTTCATTTGATGCTTATAAACAATCCTATGAGATAGGCACTATCTTTATCCATATGCCAAAAGGTAATAACTGCGTAAAGACTTTCTCGGAGAAAAACTTTAAACACACACACACACACACACACACACACACACACACACACCTTCAATCAGTCTCTCTTTCTCTCTGAAACAATTCAGTAGCCCTGGTAGCAGAAAAGGAACAAAGTCGACGCAGGAAGCTTCACCAATAGTCCACCTGCAGGCAGGAGGACGAACCAGCTAGAAAGTGCTTTTCATGTTTCTCCAGGAAAGCTCCATTTGATTTTGAACTTGTTTTGTGTTAACATTTCCTCCTTGTTTTTTATATCGGTTTAATGCAAACTATAAGGAAGCAGGAATGTGGCCCACGGAGACGTCAGTGAAACCATCATGGGGTTAAAACTAGAAGTGGGCTCAGCTCCCAGGATTCTCTAATCTCCCATGTCAACATGTTCCTGATAAAGGTCGGAATAAACACATCCACAGGACTCATCAGGCTTTCTGTAGAATATCACCATTTTTCCACGTCTGTAGAACTTTATCTGAGTTTCTATCCCTGTCAGATCTCATACTGTTTATACATCAAGATTTATTTAGTAAGACCCCATGACCACTACCTTCAACTATTGATGCTTTTAGTGGTATTAATACTTAACAGCCCATGGAATATATTTCTTATCTGCCATTCTGTGGATACTCACATTTTATCCATCTCAGAGGACCAGCCAATCCCATGGAATTGCCCAGAAACAATGAGCGTGTAATAATTTAGTCTTACCCCTGGAAAGTCCAGTATTAAACATCTATGTAGTTGTGGAGGAGCAAATGAATGTGGAAAGAAGTTAACACATCCAGGGTCACCAACACAGCTGAAACATGAACACAGGCCTGTGCCAGTGTGCTTTTCAAACATACACCGAGAACTGCCTGCATTATAATCACTAAGAATACTGGTCAAAAATATAGGCTCCTGGGTCTCACTAAACAGCCACAGAATCGAAATCTCTGGCGGTGGACACCAGGCCTCTGCTTGTTTACCAAGCTCCCTGGTGGCTGTTAACATTCATGCGCAGAACTGTGCTGCCCCCTGCTGCTGCAGGTGAATGGCAGTCCAGAAAATGCAGAGCAAAGGCAGGGGTGAGGGGTGTCTGCTCCTGGTGTTGCTGCTCAGATCACTAAGCAACCACAGGGTTTCAAAAATGACCTAGGTGACCTCAGAATGCTACAGAGAGGTCACAACAAAGACTTCCTGTCGTCTGCGGCCTTAAGTTTGCACTATAGACAAGTCTCCAAGGATAATTTGGCACAAGACAAAAAGGGGGGGTTAGGGAGGGGGAGAGGGGCACGGAATTAAACCGGGAAGTGAGTGTAGTGATTAGATTGGCGAAAGCAGGAAGTTCGTTGCAGCACCCAGCCTACAGCTGATCTAAAATAATGAGGCAGAAAAAAGACCGACCTTGCTACAGTCCTCAGGCTGTACACCTTGTCCTCAGGCTTCAGTGGATGTTGCTACCCAGTGATTAACGACAGCATCTCCTGTCACATAAATGCATAGCAGCAACTCATAAAAAACACAGGAACAAAAACTCCTCAGTGAGGGTTAAATGTTTCTTCTAAGACAGCCTGTCCAGAAAGCTCACATCTGAACATCCAGCTCCCTCCTGTAGGAAACCCTGAGGCATGGTGGTAAGGGCCCAATGGCCAGCGTGCTCCGGCCAGACACGCTGCTTGTTTGCTAAGAGCGCGCTGGGGTCTGGGCCACCCCTCCTCCAGGCTCGCGTTGGGTGCCTAAGAGGACGTGTTTCTCTCTCCCAGTCTCAGGAGGCCCAGGTGCTGAAACAGCTGGCGGAGAAGCGGGAGCATGAGCGGGAAGTCCTGCAGAAGGCGCTGGAGGAAAACAACAACTTCAGCAAAATGGCCGAGGAAAAGCTGATCCTGAAGATGGAACAGATTAAGGAAAACCGTGAGGCTAATCTAGCTGCTATCATTGAACGTCTGCAGGAAAAGGTAATCACCTCGGCGTCCTAAGCAGGTGCATTCCTCAGACACCGCTGGGTGAACTGCAAATCTGGCACCAGAGACTGGGTCAGAGCCTGTGCATGCGGGCACAGCTCGCCCCGTGCTCGGCCCTCAGTGTAGACAGACCTAGTGGGGCTGTAACATGGGCCGGGCTTTGGGCCCCATCGGGAGGCTGGAATTGTGTCAAACTTCCAGGGGGAGTGGGTTAAGGGGGCCTAGTTCATGCTTTTCCAATGTAGGAAAGACCACTGCACTAACCTTCAGAGCCAACCTATTGGAAATATTAAATTAGGACCATGCAATGCTTCATACATATATACTATATAATGCTTAATTTTAGTTTAACCACTATGTAATGTTAAGTACATCAATATTAAGTTGGAAAAATATATTTATCAGAAAAGGACAGAGTATGTATGAATGGTGGGAACCTGTTGTCTCCACCTAGGAACATCTACGTGGAAAGCTCGGCTGTGATAACACTGCATGGAGCCAAAGTGAAGGGGAGCAAAGGAGAGGTGTTCATTTCCTCACGTCCATACCCTGGTGCCATTCTCTCCACCAAATGTAAACTCGGTCCCACCAGTCAGGATGAGTGGTGCTGCAGATCCTCCCCAAAATGTTCCTTCTTGCCCTTCTGTGGGCTCTGTGCTATACCCAGCCAGGGCCACCACCACCCACCACCTCCACTATTGCCATCATCACCACCACCACATCACCATCACCACCACCACCATCACCACCATCACTACCACCACCACCACCATCACCACCATCACTACCACCACTATAATCACCACCACCACCATCATCACCACCACCACCTCCACCATCACCACCACCACCATCACTACCACCACCACCACCATCACCATCACCACCATAATCATTACCATCACTACCATCACCATAATCACCACCACCACTATCATCATCACCACCACCATCATCATCACTACCATCACCACCATCACCATCACCATAATCACCACCATCACCACCACCATTCTCACCATCACTACCATCACCACCACCATCATCATAATCACCATCACCACCACCACCATTACCACCCCTCAAAACCTTCCTTTCAAAATGGACAATGTAGCTATGAGTAGTCAACTTCTGTCCATTTTCAAATATCAGATTAAGCCTTGTGAAAGAGGGTCTTTGAGATAGGCTGCCTCAATCCTTTTCTGAGCAGTCACCCTCCCCACCTGTCCTGGGTGCGATCGCATGCTAGGCACTGGAGATGCAGGGAGATATGGACTGTCCCTGTCACCAGAACACTGAGTGAGAGTTTAGACACTCCCGGCCCCTGTTTTCTGATTATTTCTTAGGAAGCTTCATGTCGTCTGTTAGAGTTGGCCCATCTCATCTACGAATCCGGCAGCCTCAGCTTGACATTCTAGTGATTCTTTGTTTTTTTTCACTCCCATTCTCTGACTACAAATATCAGGCCAGAACCAAAGGAAATCAGACCTTAAACCTAAAATATATACAGTGAATTCCATGGAGATTTTCATGGGCACCTGGACTCGGGAAGGCTCAGAAGCTTTGCTGGGCAGGGCATGTGAGGCTCTGGGGGTGTGTGAGGTTCGGGGTGACCTGGGCAGGAGCCAGAACAGCCACTGGATGCCTCAGTCAAACCCTAAAGTTGCGATTTAACTTCCTTGTGTAAGCCCAGTCCTTTCACACTCTCAGAACTATTTCACCTACAGTACATGGGTCAGGTCAGCATTCGGAGGAGACACCAGACACCAGCTCGCTGCAGGTTACATATGGTGGTACCATAGTGAGCGCTTGACTGAGATGCAGGAGAGCAAAGCTCCACTGGCTAAAATTTAGACCCATGGCCCTGAACATTCCTCCATGTACCCTCAGTCTCCACTTTCCCACGCAACTGGTGAGATGCCTGCTGACAGGTTCTGGTACCATGGACAGCGGAGAAGCACTGTGTTCCATTCAGGATCATTGTGACTCCTCCACCTTTACCTCACATCCTAGGCCCTAAAAAAACCCACGTGGCATTGCTAGGCATGGGCACACTCATCTCATCACAGCAGGATTCGCATTCGACCTGCAGAAAGTTCCCCACCTGATACATCAGGAACCCTGAGCAGCGGTCACTGTTTGGATTTACACAGTGGCCGTAACAGTGAAAATTCTCTTCTGGTCATAGTTTCGGTTGAATACAATGGTTGTTGTTTTTTTAAGATGTCGTAAGTCTCCTAAGAGCTTCTGCAATGTGACACATATTGGGTTCCATGTGTTCCTTTCTTGGGAAATGAGAACATTTCCTGAAGGTAGATGTCAAACGAGGTTCCTTCCAGTCAAGCACACCGCATGCAAAGGAGCGGGCGGGTTCCCCCAGTTCTGCGTAGAGCAGACAGCGGGCTCCGTGACCCAGCTTGTCCCTTGGTGTCTTGCAGGAGAGGCACGCTGCGGAGGTGCGCAGGAACAAGGAGCTGCAGGTGGAACTGTCCGGCTGAGGCGACGGAGGGTATGGTGCGCCCCGCGGCTAGGAAGTCCCCCTGCCTATAGCATAAGGGATCATGCGATATCAGTATGAGAAATGTGTGACATGGTTTAAGAAGAACTCACTATTTAAAAAACACACAGAAACAGAATCAAAAATAAAAGAAATTAATGCGGTCTCTTTGCAGAATGTTTTGCTTGATGTTTAAAAAAAAATACCTTGGTTCTTATTTTGTAAATACTTACATTTTTGTTAAAAAATACAAGTATTGCATTATGCAAGTTATTTCATAACCTTACATGTCCTGTAACAGGCTTTTGACGTTGTGTCTTTCCACGCAAATGAAATCGCTGGGTCTGTTCCTTCCGAAGCTCCCCACGTCTGACTCCCTTCCTTGCCTTTCTCATTCCAACAGAAAAACGAGGTCAGTAGACAGTCTATGGTGCTAGAGATCCACCATTGCCTAATGACCTAGACAGCGCTGTCATCCCTGAACTTGACCGAGCCCATCCCTAGACCACAGGTGTTATGACTCCACACCTAACTCTACATTTGTTCATTCATCACCTACTTACTGCCTAGAAATGGCAAAACCAGGCTAAGAATACCCACCAATCGTAGCATTGACATTCGCTTCTACTGGATTGTGTGCTCCCGATGTGCTTCGGTTTTAGAAAGGGATGGATGAGAAGACAGGCCTGAGATTAATCTGGGTGGAAGCAAAAAAAGGGACCCTTTAAAGTGCTGTTTTAAACGGCTCCAGCAGCCGCGAAATCGCTCTTCGTGAAGTGGGCTTAGTTCTCTCCTTTAAGTTCTGTTGATGGAATGAATTAATTAACGTGTCAGGTGGCTTATTTGTGGATGCCATGATGGACGATGTTCATTTTAAGCTCTTACCTATAGAACAAGTACATGATGCTACTGAATAGTTTTCACTTGGAAACTGTGAGCTGGTCATTGCGTTGAAATACACACACACACACACACACACACACAAAGTCAGAAACACTGCGGACTTTCACACAAGCTGGTCTTTCTTCCCCAGTGTGAGGCAATCCTGCCGATTAAAAAAATATATATCACTCCATCTGCGAGGGCTGACACAGTGAAGGGGGTAGGCAGGGCACTGTGCCAACTAAGAATCACCAGACATCCACGTCAGGACCTATCACAGTTTTGAAGTCGTTTCTCCCCACCTCCCAACTCCCCAAGGTTGCTGCCTGCATATTTACTCTTCATTAGTGCTCTTTCCTGTATGTCATTGTGAGCAAGCTGTGATGAATAAAGAATTGGAGTTCTGTGAACTAATCAAGGGTTGGTCTGTTCTCTTGCCCCCTCACGGGTCTGAGCCCAGAGTCCAGATCTGCAAATAGCCAGTGGATTAGACCGTCTCAGCAGCAAAGACCTGGAGCGTTTGAGACCTTGCTTCCCGACATATGTCGTCAGTTTGGCTCAAACTCACAAAAATTATCTAAAATAAACAAACAAGTAAATAAGCAAAGAGACAGTAATTAGAGCCTGAGGAAGCCAGTGCGTGCTGGCGCCCTTCCCCTCTGGAGCGGCAGGCGGCCTCTCTTCTCTGTCCCTCTCTCAGGCCTGCACGGCAGGAGGTATCTTTGATCTGGTCCCCTTAACCACCTTCAGGACTGATGGAGGCACCACAGGCTCAGACCGAACCGATCGTTCTGAGGGTGAGAGCCCCTTTCAAAAACCCTGGAAGGTTCCTGGCACCCCCTCAGGCTCCCCTGGCCCCAGGCCACCTCCCCAGCCTGTGAAAGTGCGGCCTCCCTGCCCTCCTGCTGCATCCGCACTGCCAATCACAAGGTGCACACATGGGTACAGCGGGTCCTGCCCATGGCCCAGATGGTCCTACAGGACCAGTGGAACCACGTCCAGTTTAGCAGGAAATCATAAATAATTGAAACCACACGGATTTATGAAAAAAATAAACTGGGCTGTCATCCATGGCAGTGCTAAGAAGCCAAGTTGAAGGTTGAGGCCATCTGATCTCCACCTTGAGCATCTGTACTTGTGGGGAAAATCTAGCCCTGCAGCACTATGCACACAAATGCTTAAAAACAGGAGCTCCGTGATCCCTTTTTTGGAATATCAATCAGCTTCTGATTGGTTTACTTTGGTGGTAACTAGAGTCACAGGCATTATTTTCAAGGGTAAGAGAACAAAAGGGTAAAAAAGAAAACTCTAGCACACAAAAGCTTCCCGTGCATATTTGTGTCAACCACCTCTGCAGGTTGTAATTCCCTAACACACCAGCCCCACGGCTGAGGCTCCCACAGACCCTTCGTGTATTCAAGGTAGGAGCAAGGTTTATGAACACTTATTTAAACCCATTGGTCCCCAAAGTCTCTTCAGACCTGTTTGTGATGAAGATGGTACCTCACCCCCTAAATACCCATTAAATAAGGAATCGATTCGGTTCTGCGAGCTCTGTGACAGACAGTGAGCCTGGCCACGATGGTCTGCAATGGGACACACTGTCACGGAATTGTCCCCTCTCCGTCTTCTTGGGTCATAATCAACTCTTCTCTCTTCCTTGCCCCCCACAGTCCAGTGGCATCCATCCTGTATCAATGGATAAGGATGTGATGGATGTTTTATTTTTTTTATTTTTAGAGAGAGAGAGGAAGGGAGAGAGACACATCAATCTGTTGTCCCACTTATTCATGCATTCATTGGTTGACTCTTGTATGTGCCCTGACCAGGGATCGAATCCATAATCTTGGCATATTGGGACAATACACTAGCCCACTGAGCAACCCAGCCAGGGCATGATGGATATTTTAGAGGCCATCCATTTCTACATCCAAGAAGCGGGCCTTTCTGCTAACTTTTAGGTTAGCAGCAGCACTCAGGTCTTTGAGGAAAAATAAATGCTATGCTCTCCTATTCCAATCGTACTGCCGTATTTTTCCTACTCATATCGACCAAGCTTCTAGAAGTTGTTTCTCTTCCTTCACCTCGTATGTACCCCTTCACCTACCGCCGTCTGCCTTCTGCCCTGTCTCCAGTGAAACTAGTCCCACCTGCACCAATGGCCCCTTTGCTGCTAAACCAAATAGAAACTCAGTCTGGCCAAGACGACCAAGGTCAGCCCCAGGTCCTACCTGCCCTAAGAGTCTTCCTGGAACCTCTCCCACCCGCTCAGCTGGTGAGCCACCCACCTCTCCGGTGTGCCCCCAAAGCGCTCTGTGCACAACACTGGAAGCGGCCAAGGACTGCGGCTAAGGTGGAGGTTAAGGTGCCCAGCTTTCGGACCCTGGGCAGGTGCTTGTCTCCTTTAAATTTCCTCACCCGGAAGTTGGGGTGGTTTCCGGACTCATTGTTCTCACCTCCTCACTCTCTCCATGCACCCTGGCCCTCTGCCCTGTGACTCAGTGGTACCTCCCCTCAGAGCAGGCCGTGGATGCTGGGTGTAGCCATGCAGCACACTGACCCCTGCAACGACAAGGGACTGGACCGAGTTGAGGCTTGAAATGTGCAGAGGCTTGCCAGCTTTCACTCCCAGCCTGTCGCCAGGGCGTGCCACCCAGGGGCTGCTGGGACGGGGGCATGACCCGCACCCACTCAAACACCTGGGCTGTTGCCATGCCTGGCCGGCACCAGCCTGGAACCGGAAAGAAAACATGCAGGAAAAGTCAACGCATCATCCTGAGCCCCCGAGACTTGACGTGGCGTGTAACACAGCGTTACTCTGAAAGGGTCCATGTGACGTCTGAGACGATCGCTGAGGTTAAAGGAGCGAATATAAGATGCCTTCACACGGCACCGGGTGCGCAGTAAATATCCAATCGTTATTCATTATCAACATAGGTCACCTGCGCTTTACTTTCTGTTTGCTTAGCTGTTCCTCTCATTTAACCATTAGTTCCTCTAAGGCAGAATCTCTACATTTATTATTGAATCCCTAGCATTGAGCAAGTGTTACACACACACACACACACACACACACACACACACACAAATGCAGGAGCAAAATGAATGAATGCGTCCAGCTGAGACGAATACGTAGCGCCGTGCTTGGCCTCTGTGGGCACTTCATAAATATTCGCTTCCATCAGGCTTCCTTCCGCTGCAGCCCAGCAGTGTCTGCTTGGTTTTACATTCTTTGAAATTAAGCTTTATGTCCTGCAAAGGACCGTTTTAGATGATCAGAAACTTCTGTGAAAATTGGAAAACTTGCCAACACCTAACCATGGAGGAAAACAGGTTTAAGTTACTAGGGTGAACTCACTGACAGGGATTGAACACCACTGACAGAAACCGCCGTCCTGAACACTGAATGCGCATTGTCCCCTTTAAGCCTCCAATTCCTTCTGTCAACAGCATCGTTTCCAATGGCAACCCCGGGACACTGCTGCCCCGGCAGGCGCCTGTCCCACCCAGGTGGCCTGGGGCTCTGCCTGGCTGTTGGTGGCCACTTCCAGGCCATTCTTCCTCCTCCCAACACCCATTCCTGACTCTCATGTCGCCAGACCACTCAGTCTCTTCTCTCCATTGTTGGCGGTCACTGCCAGCCCCAGGCACGCGCCCCTCGCTCCCTGTGATTTCTAGTTCCCGGTCACTGTTACTCTCTTCAACCCCATTCCTGTCCTGACCACTGGCCATTTTCATACCACGCAGATGACGCTTCCACACTCTGCTCCGAGTCCCATGACATCCCCTCCTCTGGTGAGCCTGCCCCTCTGCTTTCTCTACGCCACCCAGCTCCTGGCTCTGCCCTAGACCGAGTCGTTATCAGGACTCACAATCCCTCCACCATCTCCATGCCAGGAACCCCATCTTTGGCCTTCGCCTCCTGTTTTTCCAGCCGAATCCCTGTCCTTCAAGAACCCAATCCCTGGGTCGGACCTCGTGTGTCCTTCCCCCGACGGTCATCACGTCCCCCTTTACCAGCTTCTTTTTCCTGGCAATCATCGCAGTCTCTCTCGTCTATGTCCAGACAACTGCCTCCCTCAGTGTGCTGTTTCCAGCTGGCCAAACCCATGACCTACTAAACTAACTCTCCACTGAGCCCACGCCTGTTCCCATGCAGATGAACACAGCTATCCTGACTGGCCTTCCTTTAAATTCAAGAACATAAACCTCAAGCAAGCCTTTCACATGTCCCAGCAACCACGCTTTAGTTCTCTTAAACCTCCTCGAACTTCTAACGTCTCCTTCTCATCGTCACACCCAGCTGATGACTCACTGAGAAACGAAGTAATTGGGATACGATACGCGTGGACCCCAGCAACACATCCCTGCCCCTCACACTCCTGCTCCGCCTTTTCTGCTGTGGCCAGGGATGAGCCATTTCTACACGAGGCCCAACTTCTCTCACCAGCTCAGATGGATCGCTCCGGGAATTCTCCCCCCTCCCTCCTATGTCATGTTTCTTTCTACGGCACCAGCGTTAAACATGCTATCACTTCTTCCCTCCTAGAAAAATCCTATTGCACTTTCCCACCAGCCACTGACCCATTCCCCAGCTCCCTGTGCAGCACTGTCTCACTCACTGCCCTTTCTCTCCTCCTCATCGCTCTTGAACCCTCTCCATGAGGCCTCAGCCCACACTGCGCTGTCCTTACGAGGCTTGTCAGGCTCCCCACGATCTCCATGCTGCTGGGTCGAAGGTGAATTCTCAGCCTCATCTTGTTTGACACTATTTGACATGACTGATGCCTGTCTCCTCTATGGCATCTTTCTTTTTCTCTCTTTCTTTCAAATCCTCACCTAAGGATATGTTTGTATTGATTTTTTTTTATTTTTTTTTGAGTGAGAGACACATGGATCAGCCGCCTCCCATACGCATCTCAACTGGGGATCAAACCCACAACCTAGGTATGTGCCCTGACTGGGAATTGAACCCACAACCTTTTGGTGAACAGGACGATGCTCCAACCAACTGAGCCTCCCGGTCAGGGCTTCTCCCTGATATCTTCCTTCTCAAGGCCGTCACTGCCCCGAACGTAAACATCATCTACATACCGACAGCTCCCAAACCGTTATCCCTAGACTCGTCGTCTGAACTTCAGTCTCATAGAGCCAGATGAGCACTCAACATCTGCATTTGTATGTTTGTACAATGGGCACCTCATTTCAACATGGCCACTGCAAAGCTCCCCTCATTCATTCCCTCCCATCCTGCTCCCTCCGACTTCGACTTCATTTTCATCCTTCTAATTGCTGTCAAAACAATGTAGTCATCTTTCAGACCACCAGGGGGCAGTGTCTGATCACATGTGCCGACAACTCTTTAACCCCGGCAATTGTTTTACACGGGAAGCACCCCTGTCCACTCATCTAAG